GTCTGTACATGTCACCTCTCTCAAGCTTCGCCTTCTCCACCGCTCACAACGCTCGAACGCGCATCGAGTGGACACACTCTTTCGGCTCATTTATCTGCGGTGGAGAGAATCCCAGAAGACGACGCTCTTTCGCCCGTCGAAACATCCACCGAAGCGATTAGGCCTAACCCAACCATCACTTCAAACGAATCTTCCAGCGCTCACCGCAGCACCCGCGTTAGCACCGTTCAACCCGTAACTCCTCCCATGCGCAATGCTACTCCTTCAACAGGGTTCCCTTTGATTTTTGTGCCACTAACGACATTTCAGTGCGTAACATTGTGCATTGTCTAGATACTCAGGCATGGTTCATTCCAAATACCCAGGCCCGCATGTAATTGATTGATATGTGGGGTTTAACGTCCCAAAACCACCATATGATTATGAGAGACGCCGTAGTGGAGGGCTCCGGAAATTTCGACCACCAGGGGTTCTTTAACGTGCACCCAAATCTGAGCACACGGGCCTACAACATTTCCGCCTCCATCGGAAATGCAGCCGCCGCAGCCGGGTTTCGATCCGGCGACCTGCGGGCCCAGGCCCGCATGTACATCTAATGCACATCACTACATGTTTCTTTTTATATAGTATTCTATTTTGCAATATTAAGCCGGGAAGGCATTCCGAGCAGTTCACGAGCCCTGTTTGTGCAGGAGAGGCAAGTGCCGAGTAAATGATGAACAGATGATGTGGCTTCACATCAACATGACTCTATGGGCAAACAGAGAGCACTCACGCGTGCAAAGCTCACTAGCAAGGTCTGTGGTGTGCAACACCGACTTTTCCTATAGCTGGTCATTTTATTGCAATACAATTCCCACGGACAGACTGGGCTAACATTCATCATCGACGTAGGGCGTCGCCGTGAGATGCCGCATAGAGTTCAAAGGCGATGAAGTCGCCCCACACGTCAAGTGTTCTACGTGCCAGTAAAAGCGTGCGATAGCAGCCGATGATCGAAGGTCTCTACAGCAGTGGAGAGGAAACGCTGCAGAGAATAAAAAAAAAAAACTGAAAATAGTAAAGGACCTGTCGATATCTCCCCAAATCTTGGCAGATGTAAATAAAGGAAAAGTTGCAAGATGAATCCACTACTTTAAATATTTAGGCTTTCGAAAGACGTTTGTCGAGCTTTACTGCTTACATAAAAAAGTAAGCAATAGTACAGTCGGAAAATATTTCCAATTTTGCTACGTATGAGTTGATTCTTTAAAGTACGCGACAAGTTACATCTGAATGATCACTGCTTACACGCTGATCGCAGCGACTGCTCTCGCATGCATTTGCAGTGGGTGGGAATGCGACACTTGTATGAGCTCACGGATGAGACAGCCATATGATGTAAATGCGCTGGATGGCACAGTGTTCGTACATTGAAGAGCGGACTTCTAGAGCTATTAATGGCGACTTCACTTTTTTCAGAGAGATAAGAGCAAAGAAGTGTTCGCCCATAGGGAGGACAGGCTCAAGTTCACGCAGCGCCATTCGTCACCCTAGTGGAAACAGGGCAAAATTCCGGTCGCTCGAACGGGTCGTGCTTGCTGGGTTTTCCCATTGCGCGTACAGAAATTGGGTTTCTTGGAGCGCTTATCTCGCATTTCGCACGCAATGGGCAGCGCTCCTTCGTCGTTCTGGAAAGCAGGCACGCACTACTGCTGCATTGTGAGCTGCTACGAATGTCTAAACATGGCGAATACCTGAAAACTACCCGTCAAGGTACACTGCTTCCAATACAAGCAGTGCGAGAAGGAAAGGCGTCAAGAGTGCATTATGGCAGTTCGCCGATACTCCGCGGTCTCGTTACTTTGACTTTTTTTTTTTGTCGTGCACACTGATACAAACTAAGAATTAACTGAAAGAAACGCGATGGCCAGACTCATAATAAAAAAGCGTGTTTGTGAACTGAAAAAAACAAAAAACAAAACAACAAATTGACAACCACTGTACATTTCGCGATTGGGCTCTGGCTTTCCGAGTTAACCATTGGTAGTGCGAAAGCGGTGGAGCTTGCTAGCCTAATACACTTAAAACACCATATACTGTGAGTCCTGCAAGTGTTTTATTCAGCTGATGGCGGTGAGGTTCTCGTCGCCACTCAGTGTAAACAAATTTGTGCTGCGGTTTAGCACTGAGTGTTTATACGTTCAGGTCTTGCAAGCAGTACCCACTGATAAGTTAGCATGATGAGGTGTCGTGATGCTAGGATCGAAGTCATAAGTTCTATTCCTGCTTACGCCAGCTACATTTCCACGGGAGTGAAACGCAGTAACAGTGCACTTAGATTTTGGTGCGAGAATGACAGACAGGGCGTGTTGGTGTTGCATATTTCACGCGTATGATGCTCAATGTAAACGCTCAATGTAAACGCTTAATGTCAACAGAAGTGACGCTCGGTGTGTGTGCACCCTCTGTCCATTGTCGTCGCACTGTATATTCTTCAAATAATTCTAGGAGCACGTTAAAAAAAACTCTCGTGGCCGGAAATAATCTGGAGTCTCGGGCTTGCCTCCAAATGATATGATGGTTTTGGCAAGTAAAATATAATGTCCTTGCATGCGCCCAAAACGCGGTTGATATACAGCTGCCGCTATGAAAACGAGTTGAAAAAAGAACCAAGGCAGATATAAAATTTTCAGTGGGTTCGCGAAATTCGACGCTGTTACCAGGAGGAAATCTGGGCGTAATTAAAATATGCTCGATCCTAGCGGGTATTGTGTGATGCGACGACGACCAAGCGAGGTGTCGAATTCACAGATTCCAATCGACATTCGAATCTGTGAACACGCCGCGTGATAAGGCGTGGATATTATCCGAAATGAAACATGCGCTGCAAGAATTATGTATGCTTGAATTGGACATAAAATACTTTTTTGTGCGCATCATACTTTCAAAGGAGCTGCGAAAAATCAAAGGTGTCATTGAGCTCACTATACGACCTTGTTAACATTCGATGAAAACCTCGGCAAAAGTGAAACTCTTATGAAACTGAACCCACCTCATAGAAATGGTGCCAGGGACTGAACCGGGTAGACGTAGGTTTAGCCTGTTCACACTGACCTCCTAATAAATTGAAAGCCGCGTGGCAAACTTGGCCTTCAAGCAATATAAATCCGAGCGCTATATACAAATGCTCGCGAAAGCGTGCTGGTAGTTTGCGGACAGCTCCGACAAGACACGAATGCCGCAGCAAATGCGCGTTTTACCGGTAACATACATATAGAATTCGCGCCATCACCTCGCTTTTAATATCATAAAAAGGCAGCTGTTCACCGTCGACATTCACATACCACTCGCTCAAAAACATCGTGTTTGACTTGCTTGGTCCTGCAAAGGTTGTCAATGAATCGCTCCGAAATCTGATAAGATTCCCACCGTGAAAGCGTTTGTATAATACTTTTAAACCCTCGGAGCAAGTCACAGGTGACGCTGCACGTGGAGGGCAACCAGATAACAGCGCGTGCAGAGCGCGTGAACGTGCTGAGAGAGCGCAGGCAGAAAGCGGGAGCAGGGTGCCGAGCGACCGACTTTTGCTAGAAAGGCGGTGAAACGCGGGCGGCGCAGCGCCCCCTTTCCGAGGTTGGGAGGCCCATTCATCCGGCGCTTTATATCTACCTAGTAAGTTTTATCAGCTTGATTGCGGAGCCATGGTGCATCGCCGCCACAACTGTCGGTGCGTAAAGCGGCTGGAAGCGCGTCTGCGCTGCCTGGGTATCCTGCTAGCCGGAGTTCTGGAATTGAGATCCATCTATGTAAGCAAGTGAACATAGCGCTCCCAACTTTGTTGTGCCCAGAAGGCAAAATACGTTTTAGATATCACGGCAGTGCCCGTACGCTGATAGCACCCGCACGTGCATTGTCTTCAAACACGGCTTATCTTTACGCATGTCTCGAAATGCGACCGATAAGTTGTAAACGAGCGCTTAGTTTCCGCTGCTGACCGTCGGTACCACAAGCGAAGTCGTATAAATTAAGTTTGTCTTTATACCACAACATTTATCTTTCTTGAGAAACAATTTAACAGACCCTTGCGTCGGCCAGAATAAATAAAACACCAATTTCTAAAAAAAATAGTGGCGCGTTCAACCATGCAAATTCTCGCATATGTCATTTATGAACATCGCACGCATACGGGTACATGCACATGCCAATAGATAAATGAATTTGAAATCCAGACAAACTGCGAGAAGAGATTGAATATGGAAACATGGCCGTGAACACTACTTCTCACTACTTCAAAACAAACGTGTCTTTAGAGTTCACTTCGGCGCATCCAGTGCATTCTTCGATGTTGTGGCGCAAACCCTGTATCCAGTTTTGATCAAGCCATCGCCAATTTTCTAGGTCGCAACGCTTACATACAGACCGTATTGTCTAATGCAGCATTTTACGAGCGTTTCTCTTTGCCTTTATTTGTATGAATGAAGCTACGAAGAACACAGGTGCGTTTTACCGCATTCTGACGTGCACAGCCATTCCAGCAAGGGGGTAAATATCAGCACCGCTCGTACAAACTCATCTTGTCTGCAAGCTTGTTTTGTCGGCACTAAACGACTTCAATCTCCCTAGCAATGCAACTCATTACTGCACGCTGTGTTACAACAATTAATGCTTGACTCGTAGCATCCCCCGTACCATTCGTTCAGAGTACGTTGGTAGACAAGACAAATACATCTGGCCTCATTTTTTGTTTAGATGCGTTGAAGTGCAATGATTCTGCATAAATTATATCTGTTTGAGAAGCTAGATACGGTGGTAAATTCTCAGAAAAAACAAAACAAAAGTAAAAAGAAAGCCGTAATGACGAGAACATTACTTCCGCAGCTATGAAACGGTTCAGATTCACGTATGCCGGATTTTCCTCGTGTTGAAGATGTAGCATGTGCGATACATCCCGATTCGATGGGGGAACGGGCTTTGAGCGGCGGCGCGCCTTCGGGAGCGTCGTCGAGAAGTGTCCTCACCTTCGTCCAGCTCCTCATCGCCTTCTGCTCCGGGCAGTCCGTCGGGCGGCATAGGCACAACGGGCGGCGACTCGGCGCTCGCCATGCTCAGACCACGCGCGTTCTGCGCGCGCACGACAAACACGTACGCGGTGGCCGGCGGCAGGTCGTCGAGCCGGCAGCAGGTGCTAAGCACCGCGGCTACGCGGCTCCAGGCGCGGGGCTCCGCCGCCTCCGGAGACGCGTCCACCAGGTAGCGCTGGATGCGACAGCCGCCGTCGAACGGCGAGCACGACCAAGTCACCTCGATCGCGCCGCCCGGAAGAGCCACCGCTCGCGGGGCCTCAGCCGGTGGGTCCGGGGGACCTGCGCAGAGGACAGAAGCGTGAGGACGCTCGATGGTGGGCTATTTAGAGATAAGGTGATCCCATTACATGCACGGGTTAGAGATTGAGCGGCTCACTGCCAACAACGAAGAAACCTGACTCGTATCACCCGGAATTTTTACCTGAGGTGTACCTAGAAGTTCATTACTTCAGTAAATGAGTTACTTTGCTTATTCTGAACTATTGTTGAGAGTTTCGCAACGAGCGCCGAAATAAACTTAGCCATTTACGTAACGAGGAGCTGTGGGATGATGCTCTCCGCGATGGACCTCTCGAGGTCCTCCGAGCTCTGATACAGTGGGCCCGGCTCGTCGCTGGAGTCGTCCTAGGGACCCCGGACTTGGGGTTCCTCCCACGCCCTCCTTCTCCATGCTTTTGTGAATAAAGACGTTTCTCTCTCTCTCTATCTCTCTCTCTAGGCAGCTTTAAATTGCAGTGGACATTGTTGACGAACTTGACTAGTATAGCCAAGGTTGCCGAAGTCGGTGGAGGCGCACAAACACGTAGTTGATGCCATGAAGAATATATATGATCTCGAAACGAAACGCCACGAATAATGGTCCCTGCTTCAACTTTTCTCTCTGTTCTTGGGTCCATAACCCTGACAACCCTCAAGGCAAAGCAGATTGCCAAATCGGCACGAAAGAGCTGAGTGTTCGACAAGGCTGCATGTGGGTGCAGCTAGCGTAACAGCGTAGGCACTGTTCGTCTATTTAGTTAGTGGGCGTGATTAAAATGTTGAGAACAAAATAATCCTTGCAAGAAAACTATCCAGAAAAGTATCCATGCAAGGAAACACATTCGTAACGTCCTCTCGATTTGAGTAATCGTTTATTCACCCTTAAATGCCTATACAAGGCATTACATGAAGGGGGACAATATCAGGGACATGTTATGACACAAATGCAATGTTTGAATAGCAAGTAAGAAGCAAAGTAATTACACAGCAGATTTACAAAAAAAGGCAGAGTAAATTGGAATAGTGTAACTAATAAACATTGTAGGTAGTAGGACGCGAACACCAATGAATACCTTCAAAAACAACAAAAACTTTATTGTTGAGGAGAAGCTAATTGACGAGCTGAATGGCGGGAGAGGTGACTAAAAAGAGGAGACAACAACACTTTGAATTTGTCGGGGTCGCACTCCTGAACAACAAGTTCAGGAAGACTGTTGTTCCAGTGTTAAATTGCTGAAGACTGGAATGATTTGTTAAAGCTCGAGTTTGATATGTGAAGTTTTTCTGCGATCAGCTAAAGGTGTAAGCCAAAGAGATGATTTGATCTGAGTGACGCTTGCATACTTACTGTACTGAGATTATATGAACCAGGTGGCACAATTCTGAGCTGACTCAAGGGAAGAGATGAGGTAATCTTTATGGGGGCTCCAAATGGCGGAAGGAAATTCGAGCTTTGTCCTTACGAACGTTCCATACGCAAGTTTTTTGATGGAGGGAGGGGAGGGACGCAGAGATCGTTTGAGAAATCCAAGCATGCTGGACGCGTCTGCTCAAGTTTGATGATGTTATCTGACTAGGTCAGGGTACTGTTTATGAGGACACCCAGGTAGTAGTGGTTAATCCTCTTGATATATCACAATAGAGTTTAAGGCGTACTGAAAAAAAAGGTAGAGTTCTTCGCGAAAAATGAGGTGTTTGGTACCATGAGCTAGCGCGAGCACCATGCTTCAGTGATGTCAAGGTCTTGCTGCAGTGATGATTGATCCGCACTATTGATTATCCTGCGATACACAACAGTCGTCAGCAAAAATACGGATAGACGGGGTAATTCCAGATGGCAAGTCGTTGATGAATATTGGCAACAAAAGAAGGCCAAGGACAGATCCTTGAGGAACCGCGCACAGCACATATGGTTTGGGGAAAGAATCCCCGCCAATGGAAGCTGTCGAAAAATTAACCATGACAGTGTAAGTGGGCCGAGATTTAGTGTGCAGAGAATTATGAGACGACGGTGGGCTACGTGGTCGTACGTTTGAGGAGTCGATAAAGATGGCATCAGCCTGATAAGATGAATAGAAAAGTAAGTGCAGGTCGGTTGTGAATTTGGAATAGAATCCCGGCTGCGGCGGCTGCATTTCCGATGGAGGCGGAATTGTTGTAGGCCCGTGTGCTCAGATTTGGGTGAACGTTAAAGAATCCCAGGTGGTCAAAATTTCCAGAGCCCTCCACTACGGCGTCTCTCATAATTATATCGTGGTTTTGGGACGTTAAATCCCACATATCAATCAATCAGCTGTGAATTCTGTCAACTGCGTTTCAAATGATAAGCCGGGGCGAAAACCGTGCTGCTTGCTGTAAAAGAAAGAGTTATTTTCAAGATGAAGGGTGATGTGAGAAAATATGTGCTCTTTTACTTTGCATGATAGGCCTGTCAGTGATATGGGGTGGTAAATGGGCGGATCGGAGTGGTTACCTTTTTTGATTACCGGCGTGCCTTTTGTCATCTTCCAGTTCCCAGGAATTTGGCCCTCTAAGAGTGACTGGGTGAAAATAATGAGCAAAATGTTTCTCGAGGCATCTTTCGTAGTTTGCAGATATTTATATGGTATGTTCACGGGTCCTAGAGCACTTGACGCTTTTAAGTTGTCCATGAGTTTAGAAATTACCTGAGCTGATATAACGACCAGCGCCATACCGCTGAAACATTGACGGGGGAGTTATGGTTCATTATGGGAGGACTCAAGGGCAAAAACAGAAGAAAATAAGAGTTCATAACGCTTGCTCTTTGAGCCATTGGCACGTCAGCGCCACCTGGGAAGATGAGCGTGATATTGTGGGACCGGTTTTTAAGTTTCAGTAGTTTCTAGTGTTTTTTTTTGTTTTGGATTACACTGGATATTATGCATATTAGTATCATTGATTTACATGTGGGGTTTAACATCTCAAAACCACCATATGCTTATGAAAGACGCCGTACTAGAGGGCTCCTCAAATTTCGACCACCTAAGGTTCTTTAACCTGCACCCATGTCTGAGCAAACGGGCCTACAGCATTTTTGCCTCCATCGAAAGTGCAGCCGCAGCAGCCGGGATTTGATCCCGCGACCTGCGGGTCAGCAGCCGAGTACCTTAGCCACTATAGACCACCACGGCGGGGCACTTCGTCGAGTGGGCAGATGAACAGTTTGAACCAGGTTCAAGAGCCGAGTGAGCTGGAGGAAATCGCTAGAAAGTCTAGAAGATGCTTTCAGTTTTGTATAGTCAATATCAAGAAAGCTTAAGTCACCGCAAAGAAGGAATTTGGCATTGGGAAACCGCGAGGTGAGGTGACTGAGTGCCGAGTGAAGGTCGTCAGTGAAAGATGGATCGCCGTCAGGGGGACGGTAACATGCAATGAGGAAGACCGTATAGCCGGTTCTAAATGACAACTTGATGCAAACAATTTATTCAGTGCTCTAGACGACAATATGGGATGAGGTGAAACAGGACCGGATAAATATCAGCACACCACCTCTGTTACTTGTGCTCCTATACCCACCTCTAAATAAAGAAGCTGGACGCATCATGTAAAAGTTCCTGGTTGTAGATGTGCAGAACTAAGCCATGATTCTGTGAAGATTTGCGATCTCACTGTGATTCTCAGAAAGGAAGCCCTCAACGACATCTTTTTTTTTTTGGCAAAAACTGCGAATGTTGTAAAAAACAACGGATAAGCGATAATGGTTTGTCTTTGCAGGCACAGGTAAATCATTAAAAACGTTCGGGAAAAGGAAGCGTGTAGGAGGATTCGAGTTTAATTCGAGCATCGGTATCTGAATCGTAAATACATAGCTTGTTTCTAACAATGAGCTTGTAAAACCTGATTTTGAAAGATAAGCTCCTCTCTTGCACGTATTGCTAGAGCTTATACGCTTGGCTATAGGCGCACACGTGCGGAATAATCTTCGCGTACAGTCAAGGAAGTGTTCTTGATCTGCGAGATATTGCAGCAGATTTATCCTTGAAGTACGAGAATTTCCCAGTAATGGGCCAGCTTTTGTCAGCATGGAAGCGGCCCAGCCTTTGGGCACGCTCGGTATTTTTAGAGTATAGTGTTACGCCAAGTTTTGTTTTTTTTCCCAGCGAAAGGAAAGAACCTTAGACTCGATCGGACCGCTCCGAGATTTCACCGTCAGCGTCAGGAAGTCGCAATCGAAACACACTTGATGAGCTATTCTATACTCGGAGGCAGATGATGAGCGAACCTATATACTACTATGGTACTATGGACTATGGTACACTATGGTACTACTATGGACTATGGTACAAGTATTTGTTGCCGTGACTTGCTAACGGCAGCGACGATAGCTATGCTAGCACTGCTATGTGCACTGACTGGATCCGTTACAACCTTGGAGAGAGATTCTTGACGAGAAGTAGTTCTATACATAAAAAGTTGTAGAGTGACGTCGCCTCATTTCGGGGGTGGGGACGTATGGTGAAACGTATAGACCATTTATCGCGCATTGTCTTGAGCTTTGTAATTAATATGGGTGGAGTGCTCGAAGCCTGCTTCACCGTTGCCGCAGGCCGGCCCGGTATTGCAATATCTCCGGGGCCGTCCCTCGGCCGTCCATTTTTGCTTTATTGATGCACGATATAAACATACTTGGGACCATAGGTATATAGACCTTACCTGTGAAAACTAAGCCTAAATGCAACGGCAAAGAAACTCTCTGTAGTTGTGTTGCCACCTGTATACAAATGTTACCTATATAGCAACAGCCTCTTTTAGAATGTATAACGTTGCGCCTGAAAGACGCGGTATAGAAGGAGGAACGATAAAACACGCTGGACTTAAAACTTGTTTCGTTCATCCTTCTGTTTGAGTCTTTTTCAAGCGCAACGCCATACATTATAATCACATACCAATAAGCTAAAATAGCAGCCTTAGTGGTATACCTTTTAGTCTGCATCGGTGGGCCATTTCGCGATTTTCGATTCCTTCTGAATACTCGCTGGCACGGTGCTGCGGTATGCAGA